TTTCTATCGTGCCGTTGAGTCAGTATTGACTCCTGGCAACTGCATGGACAAATCCCTGCAGTTTTCTTGGCAAGGTTTTCAGAAGTGGTTTGCCATTGCTTCCTTTCTAGGGCTGAGAGAGAGTGACTGGCCCAAGGTCACCCAGCTGGCTTTGTGCCTAAGGTTGGACTAAAACTCACTGTCTACTGGTTTCTAGCCTTTAACCACTACACCAAACTGACTCTCTCCCATTTTATTAAAGTACTTATATCTTTATGTCATCTATGTTCAAATATGGAAGCACAAATAAAGATTCTGGAAAGGCTAGTTCTGATTCCAAATCTTTGCATATGTTGGAACTGTTCCTGGTCATTTGAAATATGCACCTCAGTGAAAATCAACACATGGGTATCTTGTTTGCATAGGAATTATATACACAAAATACACTGAATCAAATAATTAAAATTCCACGAACATTTTGAATTGATTTCAAAATCTGGAATTAATTAATGTTGCCTTTTTATGAGAGCTCATATGTAAGAAGATATAATTCAGCTCCATATATGACCAATGAAGTTAGCCAGAACCAACTATAAATTATTTCAGGCAGGACTTTTTCAGGTATTTTAAAATTCTCATTAAATAATCAACCAATAAACCCATTAGACACATCAATCTAACACATGTTAATGAAGCTTATGACTTCAAAACCTGTTGATCCATAACTGCATTTCTTTCCTTTTTAAAAATACTTAACTTGTAAATGAAGATTGTGTTTATGTAAAGAATTAAATATTAGAACATACCTGCACTCATCTCTGTCATTGCTGAAACACTGGCATTCTCATTTCCTTCAGTCTAGGAATAAAAATATCACAATGAGCATATCCAACATGTCGAATAATTCTAGTGCTCAGAATATATAACTGCTACTCTTAAAGAATTGCATATGTTTATCCATGCTGTCAGGTATCGCATAAAGCTCCACTTGTTCCCAGTAATGGAGGGGAAGGAAGTGGAAAGCAGGGTAAAGTCCCTTAAATAACAATGTGGACAAACAAGAAAACTGCAAGTGTCAGAGCACAACAGCAATAATTTGTAAATGAAAACCCATACTACTAATCAAGAATGGAATACAGTACATTTGCCTTTCAATTACTTAGAAATAACTACAGCACAACAATTGCTCAGAAAAATGACTATAGCTTCATCTAAATGAAGGGCTAATGTCTTTTTTGCTCCTACATTTTGCTCATTAATGGTGAGCCAAAAGGCCAAACACTTTCTGGAAGAACAGTGACATGCCTTTTCAAAGCTAATGACTACTATACTATAAATGCAACTACAATCTTAAACCACTGCTAAAGTAAAGCTTACTAAAATTACTAAAAGAGTCACTTCCTGTGAGATGGGCGGTGGATAGATAGATAGATAGATAGATAGATAGATAGATAGATAGATAGATAGATAGATAGATAGGCATACCTTACTGGAAAAGAAGCATAACAAGAAAAAGCAGTAAAAGTGTACAATTCACAGCTTAATATTAGCAAGGCTGTCCAATTTGTACAAATACACATCATAACTGCAACAGGATTAACCAGACTATATTATGATGAACTTAACCAGAATACAGTGAACTTAGTAAACTTTATATGCAGTTATTTAAAAAGTAGCTATTTCAGTTACATAACACTTCTTACTTGTGTAACTTCAGCTGTAGAAAACTGGTGTTCAGCAGACCCATTACTCTTTATGCTGAGATTATCTGGCAGTTCAGATAGACAAGCTACTGCTTCTTGAAAACGTTTTGGAGCTGTTAACTCAGATGCAATTTCACAAATCTTTTTTACCGCGTTTCCACTTTTGCAAAAAATGAACATAGTTTAAGTCTAGACACTGTTTACCAAAGAAATGTTACAGAACCTTTTTATACCACATAACTTAAAATGAATGGTATGAGGCTTACAATCATTCTGTATCAAACAAATAAAAATGGCATCATACAATTTAACAAATGTAGCTAGTAAGGAGCACGGCACTTTATAAAGGGAAATATCAATTCCAATTATCTTTTAAGAAGATACTTCATTACTGTCATGCATCAAAAGCTATTTGGAGAAAATTAAGAGCATTAATAATTAAATATTAAGGCTGAAGCTGCTCTTGGTTTTTTTTAGGAAAACCTAAATGTATATAAATATACATTTATAACTGTATATTCCCAGTAATTTTGGTAAGCTACACCATGCAGACATCCATGTTTTACAGAAGGAAGGAATATGTAAAACACAATTGACTACATATTTCAAAACATAGCCCAAAACACTTGAGAAATAACAAATATAGAACTGTAGTGGGGTGTATACCTTTCCATATTATTTTCCTGCATGGCGGGACCAGCACTTTCAGAATGTAAATCATACTTTCCAGCAGTGCTGACCTTAGCGAGCTGCTCATCCATTTGGAGATTCAGTTCAGCTTTCTGCTCTTCTGTAGGTTTTTCTGACATTTTCTCATCTGTTACTTTAGACATTAAAATAACCAGGGAAAGTTTGTAAGCTATTGTTACGATTTAGATGAGATGGACAAAAATGCACTTTGCTTAATTGCCAAATGACCTTGTTATCTGAAGTATAGACTGATCTGGAATTTTATAAGCTACTTAGACCTCATCATTAACCTATTAGCAACAAAGGAACAAATGTTGAAATATTGCACATTACAAAAATTAATAGACTTAACTATGCATAGCCCATAGATTTCAAAAACACAACACCCTGTTGTGTTGATAGCCATAAATACTTGTATATAACCCTGCAGACACACCCAGTAAGCTCTTATTATATAAAGTCCAAAAACTTACCATTTTGGATTTCTTTATATTCTTCCATATCTGAACTTAGATCCAGAGATTTTTGAGAAGCATTCCTGGGTAGTACCAAGCCACTATTAAGATTTGGTTTAGGCTTTGTGAGTCTGTATCTTGCTGGCCTGGGTGTTTTATTTCTTTTACACAAAGATACAGTACTGCAGACAGAAGTAACGTACCATTAAAAGTATCACTCATGTTCTCAACCCTTAATATTAATATATTATCAGGCAAAAAAGGTAGCAAACAACTTTAGGACTCCTAAATCTGTGCTACAAAATCCCAGAGTTAAGAATTTAATGTTTCTCTTTATTGCTATCTAGAGGTCATCCATATTTTTGAAGCAGTTATCACTAAGGGAGGAACCTTGTAAAAGATACTCAGGAATTGTTTTGACACTCCACCTCAAATTTTAACATAAGCATATTATATGGTAGCTTTGAATGTGAATGCTTAGCTTTTTATCATTCTGAATGCAACACATGTAAACTTAGTAGTAGAATTTAATTATCCTAATAATTAACATTAGTTAATAATGAAGTGGTAGGCCAATTGCTGTACCCCGGAAGTTTTGTGTGGCAATCCTGGAGTCTTTTGGCAGTTCTTATTTGGGAGTGAAGTTCAAAACTTCTGGTGGACACCATAATGTCTATTGTTGTCTTACAGACACACTTTAATAGATGAGCAACCTATAAACATCTTTAAAGTTTCTGATTTAACATAAAGAAAAATGTTAATAATGCAGCATTCTGCATTTTCATTGCACTTGCATCAATAATTACACTGGATGAAAGAAAAAAAATTAATTTGGGATGGAGAAGTTTGTTCTATACAATGAAGTATGTCATCAAAACAATATTTATAAAATAATTAGGAATCCTACCCATTACCTAAAGAATGGGTAGGATTCCTAATTAAATAAGTATTTAGAATAATATAACAGCACAAACCTGCAGACTCTAGTTGCTTCCTGTGAACATTCTTCCAAATCTGAAAATTTGTGACATTCTGTAGTAGTTTCATTTGTGTTGTGTGGTGAAACCAGTGCAGTTTTGGAAGAGTCTGGAAGTAACACAACTGTTTTTTCTTCCAAGCAGTCTTTGAAATCTGATGGTTTATTGTTGTTACCTTCTGGAGTTGTGTTATTCGTATTATTTAAAGGAATCAGTTCATTTGCTGAAGGGGCTTTAGTATGTACTTCATTTCCTTGACTCAAAAAGCTAGCAGGTAGATTCAGTTCATCTTTACTGAGACATTCTTGTATTTTTTCTTTGTCCGTAGAAAAAGTTGAAAAATATATTTAATGTATGTATTTAAAGGAAATCAAATGCTACATCAAACATCAAAATGCTATTTGGCTTTTCAAAAGCATAGTTCTGCTCGCACAGCAGCAGGCAGAAACAAGAGGAACAGAACAAGGAGGCATAACATACTGAATCTGCACAGACTTAATACAACAAAAATAATTCAACCCTATTTTGATGATGATGATGATCTTTTTATGCCACCTTTTTATATATAACTCAAAGTGGCAAACATACTTAATACTCCTGCCTCCTATTTTCCTCATAACAACAACCCTGTGAACCACACTGAACAAGTTCACTGACACTTATATCAAGACAGCAAATTTTTGGTGGCTAAGGACTTAGTGATATTTGTATTTGTTTTCAGGGAGGACGAGGTAGAACTGCAATAGAAGGGCTATGATAAAAATTTGAGTGGGGAAAGGATCTGTTGTTCTTCCAGCTTTTAAACAGTACTAATAATTTAGGCCTTGCAGAATTGTTTTGTGTTTCCAGTCTCAAAAGAGCAAGAAACTATGTGCTGTAATGTAATAATAAGATCAGACTGGGCTCTGGGAACTGAAAAAAAAAGGCATGGGCTATAGGCTATCCACTCCTGTCTTATATGATAATACTGACCATACCTTGGGTATCAATACGTAATTGAAACACTGGATCCCTCATAGCAAGCAAAGTCATGGCTGCTTCAGTACTTCCATCATTAATTCCTAAAATAAGTTTCCAAATAAATAAGCTTACAAACCAACAAACTAATCACATTTTTTACATTACATTATTGAAAATAATATTGTATTTTCAATGGAGTTCACTCCCAGATAAGTATGTATAGAATTACAATCACTTAGTGATTAACACTTGATTTATTGAATGAAGGATTTAGGAACTCCCT